GCCAAGCTCCAACCTCACTCAGCCAGCACCCAAGCCAGGGTCCCAGAGAAGGGCCCACCACCAGAGCACCATCCCTGCCTTACACAGGGAAACGAAACAGTTCTGTGTCTCTGTTCTCACTTTCACCTTCTAGGGGCCTCTGGATGGCTTATGGGAAAGACCAAGAAGAGTGCGATTCCTGCCCAATTGTGGCCAGCATCTGGATTCTCCCAGAGGGCTGGATTGGGCCTCAGCGAGTGTTCTTCCACCTCCCACCTTCCCTACCTGAGGCTCAGGGCTCTCCAGAGCTACAACCCAACCTGAGGCAGTCTCAAGTCTCCAGTGGAGGGGAAGGTGAACAGATCGGCCTCTTTCCCATTTTCCCTACCCGCCTTGAGCTTAACTCTGGTACCTGGGGCTCACAGCCGACTTCCCTTTGAGGCTGTGGCCGCACCCCACATGACAGGCTTCTGGGTGTCCCCAAGCCCCTCCCAGCAGTGTTGAGATGCATGTGCATCTGGCAGGCTGACACACAGGTCACCACCTGTGCCTGCACGAACGTACATGGCCCACATCTGCACACACGCCATTCCAGAACTGCACTCTCCCTTCGCTTGCCCTTGGCATATGTGTACACGCAGGCAGGCTGGCACACTTAGCCCAACACTGACGCCCGCAGAACCCGCAGGTGGTTCTGGAGCAGGTGTGGCCAGGAAGCAGGGTCCCAGCAGTCTCTGACTTAGGGCAATCCCACCAGCCTGGGCTTAGGCCAGAGGATGAGTCAAGATCTCAGCCTTTGAAAGTGCTGGGTTTACAGGCCTGAGCCATTGTGCCCAGCCACTTTTGATTTTTCCTTTTTTTTTTTTTTGACAAGATCTAGCTCTGTTACCCAGGCTGGAGTGCAGTGGCATGGTCACAGCTTCCTGCAGTCTCAACCTCCTGAGCCCAAGCGATCCTCCCAACAACTCAGCCTTTTGAACAGCTGAAACCACAGGTGCACACCACCACGCCAAGCTAATTTTATGTATTTTTGATAGAGGTGGGGTTTTGCTACGGTGCCTAGTCTAGTCTCGATCTCCTGAATTCAAGTGATCTGCCCTCCTCGGCCTCCCAAAGTGCTGGGGTATAGGCATGACATGTTTTTCTTTTTCAAAAAATTATTTTGAGATTAGATCTTTCTCTGTAACACAGGCTGTTGTGCAGTGGCGTGATCACAGCTTACTGCAGCAATCTCCTTGGCTCAAGTGATTCTGCCAGCTCAGCCTCTTGAATAGCTGGGACCACAGGTGCACACCACGACTCCTGGCTAATTTTTTGTATTTTTGGTAGAGATGGGGTTTTGCAATGTTGCCCATTCTAGTATTGAACTCCTAAACTCAAGTGATCTGCCCAGCTCGGCCACCCAAAATGCTGAGATACAGGCATGAGCCACTGTGCCCAGCCATTTATTATTCTTTCTCATTAAAAAAAAAAATTAGGTCTTACTCTGTTACCCAGACTGGAGTGCAGCAGCGTTAACCACAGCTTGCTGCAGCCTAACCTTCCTGGACTCAAGTGATCCTCTTACTTCAGTCTCCTGAGTACCTTGGACACAGACCACAGGTCCACACCACCATGCCTGGCTAATTTTATTTTTTGGTAGAGTTGGGGTTTTGTCATGTTGCCAAGCTTTTCTCAAATTCCTGATCTCAAATCATTTGCTCACCTCCGCCTCTCAGCATGCTGGTTGTAGGTGTAAGCCACTGTGCCCAGCCCTTTTTCATCTTTTCTTTCTTTTTTGTTCTGTTTCCTTTTTCTTTCTTTCTTTTTTTTTTTTCTCAGATTAGGTCTCACTCTGTTACTTAGGCTGGAGGTCAGTGGCATGATCATGGCTTGTTACAGCCTCAACCTCTTGAGCTCAAGCTATTTCTCCCCTCAGTCTCTTGAATAGCTGAAACGACAGGTGCACACTACCACGCCTGGCTAACTTTTTGTATTTATGCAGTCTGCTCTTGAACTCCTGAAATGAGGTGATCCGGTCACCTCAGTCTCCAAAACTGCCATGTTACAGGCATTAGTCACTGTGGGCAGCCCTGTTTTCTTTCTCCTCCTCCTTGACTACTTCTTCTTCTTCTTCTTCTTCTTCTTCTTCTTCTTCTTCTTCTTCTTCTTCTTCTTCTTCTTCTTCTTCCTCTTCCTCTTCCTCTTCCCCTTCCCCTCCCCCTCCCCCTCCCCCCTCCCCCTCCCCCTCCTTCTTCTTCTTCTTCTTCTTCTTCTTCTTCTTCTTCTTCTTCTTCTTCTTCTTCTTCTTTTCTTCTTCTTCTTCTTCTTCTTCTTCTTCTTCTTCTTCTTCCTTCTTCTTCTTCTTCTTCTTCTTCTTCTTCTCTTCCTCCTCCTCCGTCTTCTTCCTTTTACTTCCTTTTTCTTTTTTTGTTTTAGTGAGCCTAGGTCTCATTCTGTTACTCAGGCTTGAGTTCAGTGGCATCATCACTTCTCTCTGCAGTGTCAACCTCCTTGGCTCAAGCAATCCTTTCACTTCAGTCTCTTGAATAGCTGGAACCACAGGCGTGCACCACCACACCAGGCTAATTTTTTGCATTTTTCATAGAGATGTCATTTCCCCACTTTCCCCAGTCTGGTCTCAAACTCCTTTACTCAAGTAATCTGCCCCCTTTGGCCTCCCAAACTGCTGGGTTACAGGTGTGAGTCACTGTGCCCAGTGCTTTCTTCTTTTTTTTTTTTTTTTCTTTTTCTTATTTTTGAGATTAGGTCTCATTCTGTTACTCAGGCTGCTGTGTACTGGCATGGTAACAGTTTGCTGTAGCCTCAACCTTTTGAGCTTAAGTGATCCTCCTAACTCAGCCTCTTCAATAACTGGGATCACACATGCACACCACCACACATGGCTATCATTTTGTATTTTTGGTAGAGATGGAGCTATGTCCTATTTCCCAGTCTGGTCTCAAATTCCTCGATTCAAGTGATCTGCTCACCTCAACCTCTGAAAGTGCTGAGTTATAGGTGTGAACCATTATGCCCAGCCATTTCTTCCTCTCTGTTTTCTTTTTCTTTTTTGACATTAGGTCTCACTTGGTTACTTAGGCTGGAGTTGCAGTAGCGTGGGCATGTCTTGCTGCAGCCTCAACCTCCCAGGCTCAAGCTATCCTCTTACCTCAACCTCTTAAATAGCTGAGACCAAAGGTGCACACCACCACTCCTGGCTAATTTTTTGTACTTTGGGTAGACATGGGGTTTTGCCATGTTGCTTATTCTGGTCTTGAACTCCTGAACTCAAATGATTTGCCCACCTTGACCTTCCAAAATACTGGGTTAAAGGTATGAGTCACTATGCTCAGCCACTTTTTCTTTTTTCCTTTTCTTTTTTTGGTTGAGATTAGGTCTTGCTCTGTTACATAGGCTGGAGTGCAGCAGTGTGAGCATGGCTTGCTACAGCCTAAAACTCCTGGGCTCAAGCAATCCTCCCACCTCAGTCTCTTGAATAGTTTGGACCACAGGTGCACACCACCACGCCTGGCTAATTTTTTATATTTATGGTAGGAATGGGGTTTTGCCATATTGCCCAGTTTGATCTCAAAAATCTAAACTCAAGTGATCTGCCCACTTCAGCCTCCCAAATGGCTGGGTTACAGGTGTGAGCCAGTGTGCCCAGCCATTTTTCTTTCTTTTCTTTCCTTTTTTTTTTTTTTTTTTTTTTTTTGAGATTAGGTCTCTGTTTCCAAGGCTGGAGTGTCATGGTGTAGTCATCAATTGCTGTAGCCTCAACCTTTCAGGTTAAAGTGATCCTCCAACCTCAGCCTCTTGAGTAGCTAAAACCACAGGTGCCACCACTGGCTAATTTTTTGTGTTTTTGGTAGAGAAGAGGTTTGGCCGTGCAAGTCTTGAACTCCTGAACTCAGGTGATCTGCCCACCTTGGCCTCCTAAAATGCTGGGATCCAGATGTGAGCCACTGTGCCTAGCCTTTTTTTCCTTTTTTTTTTTCTTTCTTTTTTTTTTTTTTACATTAAATCTCTCTGTTTTACACAGGCTGGAGTGCAGCAGAGTAATTACAGCTTGCTGTAACCACAAATTCGTAGGCTCAAGCATTTCTCTTATCAAAGCTTCTTGAATGGCTGGGGCCACAGGTGCACACCCCCCTAAACTTGGCTAATATTTTTTTTTTTTGTAGAGATGGGGTTTTGCCATGTTGCCCAATCTTGTCTCCAAAATCTGAACTCAAGTCATCTGCCCACCCCAAGCTCTGAAAGCGCTGGGTTACAGGCATGAGCCACTGTGCCCAGCCTTTTTTCTACCTTTTTTTAAAAATTAGGTCTTGTTTTGTTATGCAGGCAGGAGTACAGTGGCGTGATCATAGCTTACTGCAGCTTTGACCTCCTAGGCTCTAGTGGTCCTCTCAGCTCAGCCTCTTGAATAGCTAGGACCACAGGTGTACACAAACACACCTGGCTAACTTTTTGTATTTTTCATAGAGACAAGGTTCTGCCATATGACCAAGTCTTGTCTCAAACTCCTGAAATCAAGTGATTTGGCCTCCCAAAGTGCTGGATTACAGGTGTAAGCCACTGTGTCCAGCACTTATGTCTTCTTTTTTGTTTGTTTGTTTTGTTTTGTGATTAGGTTTCGCTCTGTTACCCAGGCTGGAGTGCAGTGGTGTGGTCACGGCTTGCTTTAGCCTTAATCTCCTGATCCTCCCACCTCAGCCTCTTGAATAGTAAGAACTAAAATGTAAAACAACATGTCTGGCTCATTTTGTTTTTTTTCATAGAGATGTAGTTTTGCCATGTTGCCCTGTCTTGTCTCAAACTTATGAGCTCAAGTGATCTGCTCTCCTTGGCCTCCCAAAGTGCTGGATTACAGGTGTGAGTTACTGTGAAAAGCCCTTTTTTTATTTTTATGTATTTATTTATTTTGGGGTTTTTTTTGAGATTAGATCTCCATCTGTTACCCAGGCTGGAGTGCAGTGGTGTGGTAATGGCTTTCTGCAGCATCAACCTCCTGGACTCATGTGATCCTCCCACCTCAGCCTCTTGAATATCTGGGACAACAGGTGCACACCACCACGCCGGGCTAACTTTTTATATTTTTGGTAGAGATTGAGTTTTTCAGGTTGCCCAGTATCGTCTCAAACTCCTGAACTCAAGTGATCTGCCCACCTCAGCCTCTCAATGGGCTGAGTTCAGGCAGGAGTCAGATTAGGTCTTGCGCTCTTTCCCAGGCTGGAGTGTGATGGCGTGGTCATGAGTTGCTGCAGTCTCAGCCTTTCAGGCTAAAGTGATCCTCCCACCTCAGCCTCTTGAATAGCTGAAACCACAGGTGCACACTACCACACCTGGCTAATACTTTGTCTTTTTGGTAGAGATGAGGTTTGGCCATGTTGTACAGGCAAGTCTCGAACTCCTGAACTCAAGTGATTATCCCATCTTGTCCTCCCAAAGGGTTTGGTTATAGGCGCAAGCCACTGTGCCCAGCTCTTCTTATTTTCTTTCTTCTTTCTTTCTTTTTTAGATTAGGTCTTGTTCTTTAACCCATGCTGGAGTGCAGCGTCATGTTCACAGCTTACTGAAGCTTCACCTCCTGGCTCAAGTGATCATCCCACCTAAGCTTCTTGAATAGCTGAGGCCACAGGTACAGACCACTAAGCCTGGCTTCTATTTTGTATTTTTCATAGAGATGGGGTTATGCCATGTTGCCCACTCTGGTCTCCAACTCTTGAACTCAAGTGATTTGCCCACCTTGACCTCCCAAAATGCTGGGTTAAAGGCATGAGCCACTGTGCCCAGCCACATTTTTGTTGTTGTTGTTGTTGCTATGATTAGGTCTTGCTCTGTTACGCAGGCTGGAGTGCAGCAGCATGATCATGGCTTGCTGCCTCCTAAAACTCCTGGACTCAACTGATTCTCCCACATCCTCTTGAATAGCTGGGACCACAGGTGCACACTATCATGCCTGATTAATTTTTTTTATTTATGGTAGAAATGGGGTTTTGTCATAATGCACAGTTTGACCTTGAAATTCTGAACTCAAGTGATCTGTGCACCTTGGCCTCCCAAAGTGCTGAGTTACAGGCACAAGTGACTGTGCACTGCTGTTTTTCTTTTTCTTTTTTATTTTGATATTACGTCTCACTCTGTTTTTCAGGCTGGAGTTGGGTGGCATGGTCACAGATTGCTGAAGCTTCAACCTTTTGGGCTAAAGTGACCCTTCCACTTCAGCCTCTTGAATAGTTCAAACCACAGGTGCACACCACTATGCCTGGCTAATTTTTTGTATTTTGGTAGAGGTTGGGTTTTGCCATGTTGCAACGTCTGGTCTCGAACTCCTAAACTCAAGTCTCAAGTGATCTTCCCAACTTTGGCCTTCCAAAGTACTGGGTTACAGGAGTGAGACACTGTGCCCAGGCCTTTTTTTTTGTTTTTTTTTTTTTTTTGAAATTAGGTTTTGCTCTCTTACCCAAGCTAGAGTGCAGCCACGTGAACACCACTTGCTGCAGCTTCAACCTCCTGCACTAGAGTGATCCTCCCATCCAAGCTTCTTGAGTAGCTGAGGCCACAGGTGCACACTAGTAAGGCTGGCTAATATTTTGTGTTTTTCCTATAGATGGGCTTTTGCCATGTTGCCCAGTCTGGTCTCCAACCCCTGACACAAGTGATCTGCCCACTTTGGCCTACCAGAGAGCTGAGTTACAGGCATGAGCCACTGGGCCCAGCCCTTTATTCTACGTTTTATTCCATTTAGGTCTTGCTCTGTTATGCAGGGTGGCATGCAGCAGCATGATCATAGCTGGCTGTAGCCATAACCTCCTGGGATCTAGCCATTCTCCCACCTTAGCCTGTTGAATAGCTGGGACACAGGTGTACACAAACATGCCTGGTCAATTTTTTGTATTTTGGTAGAGATGTGGTTTTGCTATGTTACCAAGTCTTGTCTCAAACTCCTGAACTGAAGTGATCTGTCCACCCTCGCCTCTCAAAGTGCTGGGTTACAGGCATGAGTCACTGTGCCCAGCTTTTTTTTTTTTTCTTTTCTTTCTTTTTTTTTGGGGGGGGCAGACATTAGGTTTTTCTCTGTCACCCAAGCTGGACTGCAGTTGTGTGGTCATGGCTTGCTGTGGGCTGAACCTCCTGGGCTCAAGTGATCCTCCCACCTCAGCCTCTTGAATAGTTGAGACCACTGGTGCACATCACGATGCCTGGGAAAAAAATTTGTATTTTTGGTAGAGATGGGCTCTTGCCATATTGCAAAATCTGGTCTTGAACCCACTGAATTCCAGCAATCTGCCCACCTCGGCCTTCCAAGGTGCCTGGTTACTGGTGTTAGCCACTGTGCCAAGCCCTTTTTTCTTCTATTTTCCCTTTTTCTTTTCTTTTTTTTTTTGAGATTAGTTCTCCTGCTATTATCCAGGTTGGAGTGCAGTGGCATGATCACGGCTTGCTGTAGCCTCAACCTCTAGGGCTAGGGTGATCCTCCCACCTCAGCCTCTTGAATAGCTAAAACCACAGGTGCACATCACCATGCCTTACTATTTTTTTAATTTTTGGTAGTAATGGGATTTTGCCATGTTGCCCATTCTGGTGTCAAACTCCTGAATTCAAGTGATCTGCCCACCTTGGCCTTTCATAGTGCTGGGTTACATGCATGAACCACTGTACCCAGCCCTTTTTTCTTTTTCTTTCTTTTTCCTTTTTTTAACATTCGTTCTCACTCTATTACCCAGGTTGGAGTGCAGTGGCATGATCATGGCTTGCTGCAGCCTCCACCTCAAGGGCTCAAGCAATCCTCCTACTGCAGCCTCTTGAATAGCTGGGACCACATGTGCAAACCACCACACTTGGATGATTTTTTGTATTTTTGGTAGAGATTGGGTTGTCCCATGTTGCCCAGTCTGGTGTCGAATTCACGAACTCAAGTGATCTACCCTCCTTTGCCTCCTAAAGTGCTGGGTTACAGGCATTCGTCACTGTGCCCAACCCTTTTTTTTCCTGTTTGTTGTTATTGTTGTTTGTTTGTTTGTTCGTTCATTTTATTTGAGATTAGGTCTTGCTCTATTGCCCTGGCTGGAGTGCAGTGGCATGATCATGACTTACTACAATCTAAACCTTATGGGCTCAAGTGATCCTCTCACCTTAGCCTCCTGAATAGCTTGTTTCACAGGTGCACACCACCACACCTGGCGAGTTTTTTGTATATCTGGTAGTAATGGGTTTTGCCATGTTGCCCAGTCTTGTCTTAAACTCCCAATCTCAAGTGATCTGCCCACCTCGGCCTCCCAAACTGCTGTGTTTCAGGTGTGAGCTACTGTGCTCAGCTTCTTTTTTTTTCTGTTTTCTATTTTTTTGTTTTGTTTTTTGTTTTTGTTTTTGTTTTGACATTAGGTCTCGTTCTGTTACCCAGGCTGGAGTGCACTGGCATGGTCATGACTTGCTGCAGCCTCACACTTTTAAGCTAAAGGGATCCTCCTACCTCAGCCTCTTGAGTAGCTAGGACTACAGGTGCACACCATCACTCCTGGCTAATTTTTTTATATTTTTCTTAGAGACGTAGTTTTTCCATGTTTCCCAGTCTCGTCTTGAACTATTGAAATCAAGTGATCTGCCCACCTCAGCCTTTCAAAGGGATGGATTACAAGGGGTGAGCCCAGCCCTTTTTTTCTCTCTTTTTTTTTCTTGTGAGATTAGGTTTTGCTCTGTTACCCAGGCTGGTGTGCAGAGTGCAGTGGCGTGTTCACAGCTTACTGCAGCCTCAATCTCCTGGTCTCAAGCGATCCTTCCAATTCAGCCTTTTGAATAGCTGAAACCACAGGTATATACCATTACACCTGGATAATTTTACGTATTTTTGGTACAAATTGAGTTTGGCTATGTTGCCCGAGTCTGGTCTCAAACTCCTGAACTCAAGTGATCTGCTCACCTCAATCTCCCAACATAATGGATTCCAGATGTGAGCCATTCTGTCCAGCCCTTTTTTTTTGTTTCTTTTTTATTTTTTGACATTATTTCTTGCTCTGTTACCAAGGCTGCAGTGCAGTGGCTTCGTCACAGCTTGCTGCAGCCTCAACCTCCTGGGCTTAATCGATCCTCTGACCTCAGCCTCTTGAATAGCTGGGACCACAAGTGCACATCACCATGTCTGGCTAATTTTTTGTGGTTTTGGTAGTGATGGAGTTTTGCCATGTTGCCCAGTCTGGTCTCAAACTCCTGAACTCAAGTGATCTGCCCACCTTGGCTTCCTTAAGTGCTGGGTTTTATGCTGGAGCCACTGTGCCCATCACTTTTTTCATTTTTTCTTTCTTTTCCTTTTTTAAATTAAATCTCACACTGTTACCAAAGCTGGAGTGCAGAGGCATGGTTATGGCTTACTGCAACCTCAACCTCCTGGGCTCAAGCGATCCTCCCAACTTAGCCTCCTGAATAGCTGGGTCCACAGGAGCACACCACCAAGCCTCGCTAATATTTTGTATTTATGGTAAACATGGGGCTTTGCCATGTGGCCCAGTCTTCTATTGAACTCCTAAACTCAAGTGATCTGTTCATTTTAGCCTTCCAAAGTGCTGGATTATAGCCATGAGCCATGGTACCCAGCAGGGTTTTTTTTCCTTTTCTTTTCTCTTTTTTTTTTTTTTGAGATTAGGTCTTGCTCTGTTACCCAGGCTGGAGTACAGTGGCGTGTTCACAGCTAGTTGCAGCCTCAACCTCCTAGGCTCAAGTGATCCTCCCACCTCAGCCTCTTGATTAGCTGGGACCACAGGGGCACACCACCATGCCTGGCTAATTATTTGTATTCTTGGTAGAGGTGGGGTTTTACCATGTTGCCCAGTCTAGTCTCAAACTCCTGACCTCAAGTGATCTGCCCACCCCGGCCTCCCAAATTGCTTAGTTAATATCATGTGCAACAGTATCCAGAACTTTTTTTTTTTTTTTTTTTTTGAGAATAGGTCTCGTTCTGTTACTCAGGCTGGAATGCAGCAGCCTGTAGTCATGGCTTGGTGCAGCCTCAACCTCCTGGGCTTAAGTGATTCTCTAACCACAACCTCTTGAACAGCTTGGATCACAGGTACACCCTATCAGGCCTGGCTAATTTGTTTTGTATTTTTGGTAGAAATGGGGTTTTGCCAGATTATCTCAAACTCCAGAACACAAGTGGTCTGCCCATCTTGGCCTCTCCGAGTGCTGGGTTACATGCGTGATCCAGTGTTTCTAGCCCTTTTTTCTTGTTTTTGTTTTCTTTTTCCTTTCTTTCTTTTTAGATTAAGTCTTTCTCTGTTACCCAGGCTTGAGTGCAATGGCATGATCACAGCTTGCTGCAGTCTCAACATTTTGGGCTCAAGCGATCCTCCCACCTCAGCCTCTTGAATAGCTGGGACCACAGGTGCACACCACCACACCTGGCAAATTATCTATATTTTTGGTAGAGATGGGGTTTTGCGATGTTACCCAGTCTGGTCTCCAACTCCTGAACTCAAGTGATCTGCCCACCTTGGCCTCCCAAAGTTCTGGGTTATAGGCATGAGCTACTGTGCCCAGCCCTTTGTTCATTTTTTTTTTAATTTTCGGGTTTTTTAAATTGAGATTAGGTCTCGTTCTGTTACCCAGGCTGGAGTGCAGTGGCTTGGTGGCTTGGTCACAGCTTGCTAAAACCTCAATCTTCTATTCTGAAGTGATCCTCTCATCTCAACCTCTTGAATAGCTGGGATTACAGGTGGACACTACCAGGCCTGGCTAGTTTTTTTGTAGTGATGGTGTTTTGCCATGTTTCCCAGTCTTGTCTCCTGAACTCAAGTGATCTGCCCACCTCATTTTCCCAAAGTGCTTGGTTACAGGTGTGAGTCACTGTTCCCAGCCCATTTTTCTTTTTGTTTCTTTTTTGTTTTGTTTTGTTTGAGATTAGGTCTCTCTCTGTTACCGAGGCTGGAGTGCAGTGGTGCAATCACAGATTGATGCAGCCTCAACCTCCTGGGCTCACGTGATCCTCCCACTCAGTCTCTTGAATTGCTGAGACCACAGTTGCAAACCAAAACACCTGGCTAATTTTTTGTAGAGATGGGTTTTGCCATGTTGCCCAGTCCAATATCAAATTCCTGAACTCAAGCGATCTACCCATCTTAGCCTCACAATGTGCTGGGTTATGGGTGTGAGACACTATGGCCGTTCTTTTTTTATTTTCTTTTTTCCTTTTTTCTTTTTTTCTCTCTCTTTGACATTAGCTCTTGATCTCTGACCCAGGCTGGAGTGCAGTGGCGTGATTACAGCTTGCTGCAGCCCCAAATTTCTGGGCTCAAGCAATCCTCCCTCCTCAGCCTCTTGAATAGCTGGGACCACAGGTGCACACCACCATGCCGAGCTAATTTTGTGTATTTTTGGTAGAGATGGGGTTTTGACATGTTGCCCAGTTTGGCCTTGAACTCCTGAACTCAAGTGGTCTGCCCACCTTGACCTCCCACAGTGCTGGGTTTGCAGGCATGAACCACTGTGCCTAGCCCTTTTTTTCTTCTTTTAAATTTTTTTTTGAGATTAAGTCTCCCTCTATTACCCAGGCTAGAGTGCAGTGGCTTGATCATGGTTTGCTGCAGCCTTAACCTCCTGGGCATAAACGATCCTCCCACCACATCCTCTTCAATAGCTGGAACCACAGGGGGATAACCCCACACCTGGCTTTTTCTATTCTCGGTAGAGTTGGATTTTGCCATGTTGCCAAGTCTGGTCCCAAACTCCTGACGTCAAGTTATCTGCCCACCTTGGCCTCCCAAAGTGCTGTGTTTATAGGCATGAGCCACTGTGCCCAGCTGTTTTTTGCTTGTTTGTTTTGTTTTTTGTTTTTTTGAGATTAGGTCTAGCTCTGTTATCCAGGCTGGAGTGCAGTGTTGTGGTCACGGCTTGCTGCAGTGTCAACCTCCTGTACTCAAGCGATCCTCCCATCTCAGCTTCTTAAATAAAACCCCATCTCTACCAAAAATACACAGCTTCTTAAATAGCTGGGACAACACGTTCACACCACCACACCTGGCTAATTTTTTGTATTTTTGTTAGAGAAAAGTTTCGTCATGTTGATCAGTCTGGTCTCAAAACTGCTGAACTCAAGTGATCTGTCCACCTGGGCCTTTCAAAGTGCTAAGTTACAGGGGTAAGCCACTGTGCCCACCTATTTCTCCTTCTTTTTCTGTTTTATGTTTTCTTTAAGATTCGTTTTTGCTCTTTTACCCAGGCTAGAGTGCAGCGTCGTGATCACAGCTTGGTGCAGTGTCAACCTCCTGGGCTTAAGTGATCCTGCCACCTCAGCCTCTTGAATAGCTTAAACCACAGGTGCACATCACCATGGCTGGCTAATTTTTTTGTATTTATCATAAATATGGGGTTTTGCCATCTTACCTAGTCTGGTCTTGAACTCCTGAACTCAAGTGATCTGTCCACTTTGAACTCCCAATGATGGGCTGGTTTGCAGGCATGAGCCATGATACTCAGCCCTATTTCCTTTCCTTTCCTTTCCTTTCCTTTTTTCTTCTTCTTCTTCTTTTCCTTCTCTTTCTTTCTTTTTCTCTTTCTCTTTTTCTTTCTTTCCTTCCTTTCTTTCTTTCTTTCTTTTTTGGGATTAGGTCTCAGTCTGTTACCCAGGCTGGAGTGCAGTGGCGTGATCATGGCTTGCTGTAGACTCAATCTCTTGGGCTCAAGCAATCCTCCCACTTCAGCCTCTTGAATAGATGTGACAAGTGCACATCACCATGCATTGCTAATCTTTTGTTTTTTTGTTAGAGATGGGGTTTTACATCTCACTTTTTTATACAGGCTGGAGGGCAGTGGTGTGATCATGGCTTGCTGCAGCAAAAAAATAAAAATAATGTAAAAAAGAAGAAAAAAGAGCTGTTCACAGTGGCTCATGCCCATAACCCAGCACTTTGAAAGGCCAAAGTCAGCAGATCACTTGAGTTCAGCAGTTTGAGACCAGACTGAGCAACATGGCAAAACCCCATCTTTACCCAAAATACAAAAAATTAGTGAGGCATGGTTGTGTGCACCTCTGGTTTCAACTATTCAAGAGGCTGAGGTGGAGGATCACTTGAGCCCAGGAAGTTGAGGATGCAGCAACTCGTGATCATGCCACTGCACTCCAGCGTAGATAACAGATTGAGACTTAGTAAGTTATCTCACTCAAAAAAAAAAAGAAAAGAAAAGAAAAGAAAAATGAACAACAAAGGACTGGCCAGAGTGGCTCATCCCTGTAACTTAGCACTTTTGGAAGCCAGGCATGGTGGTGTGCACTGGTTGTCCCACCGATTCAAAAGGCTGAGGTAAGAAGATCTCTTGATCCCAGGAGGTTGAGCCTGCAGCAAGCCATGATCATACCACTGCACTCCAGCTTGCATAACAGAGCAAGATGTAATTTCAAAAAGGAAAAAAAAGCTAGGCACAGTCACTCACTCTTGTAACCCAGCACTTTGGGAGGCCGAGGTTGGCAGATCACTTGAGTTCAGGAGTACAGGGCCAGACTGTGCAACATAGCTAAACCCCATCTCTACCAAAAGTGCAAAAAATAAGCCAGGGATGGTGGTGTGCACCTGTGGTCCCAGCCATTCAAGAGGCTGTAGTGGGAGGATTGCTTGAGCCCAGGAGTTTGGGCTGCAGCAAGCTGTGATCATGCCACTACACTCCAGCCTGGCTAACAGAGAGAGAGAGACCTAATCTAAAAATAAACAAATAAATAAAAATGAAAAAGGAAAGAAAAGAAAAAAGTTTGGAAACAGTGGCTCACACCTGTAATCAAGCACTTTAGAATTTCAGATGGGCAGATCAGTTGAGTTCAGGAGTTCGAGACCAGAAAAGGCAACATGGCAAAACCCCATCTTTACCAAACATACAAAAAATTAGCCAGGTCTGGTGGTGTGCACCTGTGGTCCCAACTATTCAAGAGGCTGAGTGGGAGGATCCCATGAGTCCAGGAGGCTTGGACTGCATCAAGCCATGATCATGCCACTCCACTCCAGCCTTGTAACAGAGTGAGACCTAACAAGAAAAAAAAAAAAAAAGAAGGTTGGGTACAGTAGCTCATGCCTGTAACCCAGCACTTTGGAAGTCGAGGTGGGCATATCACTCGAGTTCAGGAGTTCAAGACCAGACTGAGCAACATGGCAAAACCTGATCTGTACCAAAAATACAAAAAGTTAGCCAGGCACAGTGGTGTGCACCTGTGATTTCAGCTATTGAAGAGGTTGAGGTGGGAGGATCACTTGAGTCCAGGAGGTTGAGGCTGCAGCAAGCTATGATCAAGTCACTGCACTCCAACCTGGGTAACAGAGCAAGATCTAATCACCAAAAAAAAAAAAAGAAAGAAAGAAAAGGAAAGGAATAAGAAGAAAAAACAGCAGGGAGCAGTGGCTCATGCCCATAACCCAACACTTTGGGAGGCCAAGGTGGGTAGATCACTTGAGTTCAGTAATTGGAGACCAGACTGCGCAACATGGCAAAACCCCATCTATGCCAAAAACACAAAAAATTACCTTGGCATAATGTTGTGAACCTGCTGTTCCAGCTATTCAAGAGGCTGAGGTGGGAGGATCAACTGAGCCCAGAACGTGAGGCTGCAGCAATTCGTGATCAAGCCACTGCCCTCCAGCATGGGTAAGAGCAAGATCTAATAAAAAAAAAAATACTAAAAGAAAGAAAGAAAATAAAAGGAAAAAAAAAAAGGCCAGGTACAGTGGCTGTCGCCTGTATCCCAGCATTTTGGACAGCCGAGGTGTGCAGATCACTTGAGTTCAGGAGTTTGAGACAAGACTGGGAAACATGGCAAAACCCCATCTCTCCTAAAAATACAAAAAATTAGCCAGGTGTGGTGGTGTGCACCTGTGGTTCCAGCCATTCAAAAGGTTTACATGGGAGGATCCCTTGAGCCCAAGAGATTTACACTGCAACAAGCCATGATCATGCCACTGCACTCCAGCCTGGGTAACAGAGCAACACCTAATCTCAAAACAAACAAAGGGCTAGGCACAGCGGCTCATTCCTGTAACCCAGCCCTTTGGGAGGCCGAGGTGGGCAGATCACTTGAGTTCAGGAGTTTGAGACCAGACTGGGCAACATGGAAAACTCCATCTCTACCAAAAATAAAAAAAAGTAGTCTGGCATGGTGGAAAGATAGCACGAGCCCAGGAGCTTGATGCTGTAGAAAACAGCGACCACACTCCTGCACTCCAGCCTGAGTAACAGATGAAGACCTAATGCCAAACAAACAAACAAACAAACCAAAGATAAAAACAGAAAAATGGGTTTGTCACAGTAACTCAGGCCTGTAATCCAGCACTTTGAAAGGCCGAAGAGAACAGATCACTTGAGTTCATGAGTTCGAGACAAGACTTGGCAACACGGCAAAACTAAATCTCTACCAAACATAAAAAATTAGCCAGGCATGTTGGTGTCCATTTGTGGTCTTTGCTATTCAAGAGGCTGAGGTGGGAAGATCAGGAAGTTAAGGCTGCAGCAAGCCGCGATCATGGCACTGCACTCCAGCCTGGACAACAAAGTGAAACCTAATCTCAAAAGAAAACTAAAAGAAGAAGGAGAAGGAGAAGAAGAAAAAGAAGAAGGGGAGGACGAGGAGAAAGAAGAAGAAGACGACAATGATGACGACAAAAGGGCTGGGCGCAGGGGCTCACGCCTGTAATCCAGCAGTTTGGGAGGCCACAGAGGGCAAATCACTTGAGTTCAGGAGTTCAAGACAAGACTTGGCACCATAGCAAAACCCCATCTCTACGACACAAAAAATTACCCGGGGGGGCTGTGTATACCTGTGGTCCTAGCTATTCAAGAGGATGAGCTGGTGGATCACTAGAGCTTAGGATGTTAAGGCGTCAGCAAGCCATGATCATGCTGCTGCACTCCAGCCTAAGTAACAGAACAAGACCTAATCTCAAAATAAAATAAAATAAAAATGATTTTTAAAAAATGCTGGGCACAGTTGCACACACCTGTAATTCAACAATTTGGGAGACCAAAATATGCAGGTATGCAGATCAGCTGAGTTCAGGAGTTCAAGACTAGACTGGGCAACATGGCAAAGCCCCACCTCTACCAAAAATACAAAGAATTAGCCAGGCATGGTACTGTGCCCCTGTGGCCCCAGCTGTTCAATAGGCTGTGATGAGAGGATCGCTGAGCCCAGGAGGTTGAGGCTGCAGCAAGCCAGGACCACACCACTGCGAGACCTATTTTCAAAAAAGAAAAAGAAAAAAGTGTTTGGCATAGTGGTTCAAGCCTGTAATCCAGCACTATCAGAGGCCAAAGTGGGCTGATCACTTGAGTTCAGAAGCTTGAGATAAGATGACTAAGCAACATGACAACCACCATGTCTACAAAAATTACAAAACATTAGCCAGATGTGGCGCCATGCACCTGTGGTCACAGCTATTGAGAGGCTGAGGTGGGAAGATTGCTTAAGCCCAGGCTGCCAAAAGGTTGATCATGCCACTGCATAGCCTGGGTAACAGAGTAAGATCTAATCTGGAAAAAAAAAATGAAAAGAAAAAGAACAAAGAAGAAGAAAAAGAAGAAAAAGAAGAGGAGGAGGAGGAGGAGGAGGAGGAAGAAAGGGCTGGGCAGAGTGGCTCATGCCTGTTACCTAGTAATTTGGCAGACAGGTGGACAGATCACTTGAGTTCAGGAGTTCAAGACAGGACTGAAAACATGGCAAAATCCTATCTCTACCAAAAATACAAAAAATTTTCGAGGCATGGTTGTGTGCACAAGAGGCTGAGGTAGGAGGATCCATTGAGCCCAGGAGGTTGCGGCTGCAGCAAGCCATTACCACGACACTGCACTCCAGTCTGGGTAACAGAGTGAAACCAGAAAGAAGAAAGAAAAAAAAAGTAAAGGAAAGGAAAAAGAAAGAAAGAGGAAAAGAAAAGAAAGGAAAGAGAAAAAAGAAAAAGTGATGGGAACAGTGGCTTATGCCTGTAACCCAGCATTTTGGAAGGCTGAGGTGGGCAGATCACTTGAGTTCAGAAGTTCAAGATCAAACTGAGCAAAATGGCAACACCCCATCACTACCAAAAATACAAAAAATTAGCCAGGCATGGTGGTGTGCACCTGTAGCTATTCAAGAGGCTGAGGTGGGAAAATCGCTTGAGCACAGGAGGGTGATGCTGCAGCAATCTGGATCATGCCACTGCACTCTAGCCTGCATAAAAGAGCAAGAGTTAATTTCCAAAAAAGAAAAAAAAAGACAAAGACAAAAAGAAAAGAAAGAAAAAGAAAATAAACACAGTGAATCACACATGTAACCCAGCAATTACAAAGGCTGAGGTGGCCAGATCACTTGAGTTCAGGAATTCGAGAACAGACTGGGCAACATGTCAAAATCCTATCTCTACCAAAAACACAGAAAATTAGGGTGGCATGCTGTTGTGAACCTGCTATCCCAGCTATTCAAGAGGCTATGGTGGGAGGATTGCTTGAGCCCAGAATGCTGACACTGCAGCAAGCCATGACAATGTCACTGCACTCCAGTCTTGGGAACAGAGCAAGACCTAATCCAAAAAACAAAAACAAATACAAAAAACAAAACAGGGCACAGTGGCTCACCTCTGTAACCCAACACTTTGGGAAGTTGAGGTGGACAGATCTCTTAAGTTCAGTAGCTTGAGACCAGAGTGGGCAACATTGCAAAACCCCATGTCTACAAAACATATCAAAAATTAGCCAGGCATTGTGGTGTTCACCTGTGATTCCAGCTATTCAGGAGGCTGTAGTGGGAGGATTGCTTGAGCCCAGAAGGTTTAGGCTGCAGGAAGCCATAATCATGCCACTGCACTACAGACAGGGCAACAGAGCAAGACCTACTCTCAAGTCACACAAACGAACGAACAAAAACAAAAAAAAAAAAAGAAGAAGAAAGGGCCAGTCACAGTGGCTCACACCTGTAACCTAGCATTTGGGAGGCATAGGTGGGTATGTCACTAGATTTCAGGAGTTTGAGATCAGACTGGATAACATGGCAAAACCCAATCAAAAATTAGCCAGATGTGGTGGTGTGCACCTTTGGTATCAGTTATTCAAGAGGCTAAGATAGGATTGCTTGAGCCCAGGAGGTTGAGGCTGCAGTAAGCCATGATCACACTACTGCAGCCGCAAACTCCTGGGATCAAGAGATCCTCCCACCTCAGCTTCTTAAATAGCTGAGACCACAGGTGCATACCACCATGCCTGGCTAATTTTTTGTATTTTTGGTAGTGATGGCATGTTGCCATGCTGCCCAGTCTTGTCTCCAACTTCAGAACACAAGCGATCTGCCGACCTCAGACTCCCAAGTTTCTGAATTATAGTCATCAGCCACTGTGCCTGGCACTTTTTTATTCTGTTTCCTTTTTTTTTTCCCTTGAGATTAGGTCTTGTTCTGTTACCCAGGCTGTAGTGCAGCAGTGTGGTCACGGCTTGCTATAGACTCAACCTCCGGGGCTCAATCAATCCTTTCACCTCAGCCTCTTGAATAGCTGGGAACACAGGTGCACAACACCACGCCTGGCTAATTTTTTATATTTTTGATAGAGATGGGGTTTTGCCATGTTGCCCAGTCTTGTCTCAAACTCCTGAACTCAAGTGATCTGCCCACCTCAGCCTGCCAAATTGCTGCATAATGCCTGTGAGCCACTGTGCCCAGCCCTGTTTTTCTTCTTTCTCTTATTTTTCTTCTTCTTCTTCCTCCTCCTCTTCCTTCTTCTTCTTCTTTTCTTCCTCCTCCTCCTCCTCCTCCTCCTCTTCTTCTCAGGCAGGAAGTGCAACGGTATGATCACAGCTTGCTGCAGCCATAACCTCCTAGGCTCTAGTGATCCTCTCACCTCATTCTCTTGAACAGCTAGGACCACAGGTGAACACCAACACTCCTGTCTAATTTTTTATATTTTTGGTAGAGATGTGGTTTTGCCACGTTGCCAAGTCATGTTTCAAACTCCTAAACTCAAGTTATTTGCCCATCTCGGCCTCCCAAAGTGCTGGGATACAGGCATGAGCCACTGTGCCCAGCCATTTTTTCTTTACTTTTCTTTTTTCTTTTTCTTTGAGATTAGGTCTTGCTTTGTTACTGTGGCTGGAGTGCAGTGGTGTGGTCACACTTACTGCAGACTCAACCTCCTGGGCTCAAGCAATCCTCCCACCTTAGCCTCTTGAATAGCTGGAACCACAGGCGCACACCACCATGTCTGGCTAATTTTTTGTATTATTGCCAGATGGGGTTTTGCCATGTTGCCAAGTCTCATCTAAAATTCCTGAACTAAAGTGATCTGGCCACCTGGGCCTCCCAACGTGCTGGGTTACAGGTGTGAGTGACTGTGCCCAGTCCTTTTTTGTACTTTTTTTCTTTCTTTTCTTTTCTTTCTTTTTTGCTTTTTTTTTGAGATAAAGTCTTGGTTTGTTACCCAGGCTGGACTGCAGTGGCATGGTCTCAGCTTGCTGCAGTCTCAAACTCCTGGGTGCACACCACCACATCTGGTCTCAAACTCCTAAACTCAAGGGATCTGCCAACCTCGGCCTCCCAAAGTGCTGGGTTACAGGCATGAGCCACTGTGCCCAGTCTGTTTTCCTTTTCTTCTCTTTATTTTTTGAGATTATGTCTCGCCCTCTAACTCAGGCTGGAGTGCAGCAGTATGATCATGGCTAGCTGCAGCCTTAAACTTCTAGGCTTTAGGGATCACTTCAGCCTCTTGAATAGCTAGGACCACATGTGTACACAATATACCTGTCTAATTTTCCTGTATTTTTGGCAGAGATGTGGTTTTGCCATGTTGCCAAGTCTTATTTTGAACTCCTGAACTCAAGTGATCTGTCCACCTCGGCATTCTCAAGTGCTGGGTTACAGGCCTGAGACACTGTGACCAGCCCTAGTTTCTTCTTCTTTCTTTTTTTGATTTATTTTTGAGATTAAGTCTCACTTTTTTACCCAGGCTGGAGTGCAGTGGTGCAATTACAGCTTGCTTAAGGCTCAACTTCCTTTGTTCAGCTGTGTCCTGGGGTCCAGGAAAGTCAAGAAGTTGCTCCACCTGCTGATCACCAGGCACCCTGGCAGAGAAGAGCCTCTGCCCACCCCAGCCTGACATCAGATCCCAAGGACTGGTCCACCTGCAAAAGGGGAACATGAGACTGTCCCCATTGTCTCCAGAGAGTCCCCTCAGTCATAGGCACTGACCAGGGTGCAGGTGGGCCCAGCAGGCTAGCCCAGCATGGGTGTGGCTGTACGTTGGTCCTCTGAAGAGCCTCAGGGGCTTGTGGCAGATGGTGTATGTCTGGGCTTGGACGTAGAGGGTGTCCCCCAGCCAAAAGGCAGAGATAGTTGTTTTGCACTCCAGTCCGCTGCAAGAACAGGGACCTCAGGCTCTGGACACCCCAGCTCTGCCTGCCCCTGCCCACAACCTACCGCCATTTGGCCCAGGCAAGTAACCCCAGCTCCCAAAGAGAGAGCCATGCTTCCCACATCCTGATGTTTTCCTGCACTGTTCTCACCTGGCTGTTCTCAGCACCAGTCAAGTTCCATTCTGGAAAAACCCTCCACATCCTTGGGAAGGCACCTTCTCCTTGACTCCTTTCCAGAGCTTTCCATTCCTTTTTTTTTTTTTTTTTTTTTTTTTGAGACAGAGTCTCACTCTGTCACCCAGGCTGAAGTGGAGTGGCACAATCTCAGCTCACTGCAACCTCCGCCTCCCAGGTTCAAGCGATTCTCCTGCCTCAGCCTTCTGAGTAGCTGGGACTACAAGCATGTGCCATCACACCCAGCTAATTTTTTTTATTTTTAGTAGAGACGGGGTTTCACCATGTTGGCCAGGCTGGTCTTGAACTCCTGACCTCAGTTGATCTTCCTGCCTCAGCCTCCCAATGTGCTGGGACTACAGGCGTGAGCCACTGTGCTTGGCCCCTACTTCTATTTTCTACCTATTATTTGATGCAGCAACCAGGTCTTCCCTGGGCCAGGCTGCTCTAGAGGTGGGGAGGCTGTAATCAGGACGTGGAGTATAGCAGAGCGTGGAATATAGACCAGGCTTTCCAGGCACACCTGGGCAGAGAAGCCAGAGGCCCACAGGTAAGTTCCTCTCCTTCCAACCCCACCCACCTCACAGGCAGAAAGAGGGAGGCTTCACAAGGGGTTTGAGGTAAACAGGGGAGCCTGGGTCACCTCTATCTGATCTTCTGCCCTCCTGGGAGAAAGCCAGAGGCTTCTGGCTTCTAAGGCCGAGGCCCAGCACACCTCTCCCCCCACTTGCCTGCAGCTGTTGTCACATATCAAAAGTGAGTTTTTCCCCGAGGGGCTGGAGGCACAGCTCCTTGGGCTTGACCAGGTGGGCAATTCAAACAAGTCCCTGTGCGTCCCCACCAGCCAGGCCTTCTCACACCACACAGCAGCTGGGGGCACCAGGATACACTGGGGGATTCCAGGGATGAGAACACCCCAAGACTCCCACAGCAGCACTGCCACCCCTAGACCCGCCACAAGCCCCGTGTCCATCCAGCCTTCAAGAACCTGCCCCTCACACATACTTCCCCGCTCCTCACACCTGGCTTTCCTGTGAAAAGTGGAACTGGTTCCACCTAGGCCAGCTGGAGAAGGGCCTCAGGAAATGGCCATTTGGGGATTCATTTCGGTTTTAATCATTCATTCATTTATTCACCAAATACTCACTGTCCACTTTTCTGTACCAGGCCAGGAGTGATGGGTCAAGCAGAACACATGTCTCAAGGAGTTTTCCTCTCTTTAGAGACAGACAGGTAGACTTTCAGACCATGAGGGCCCTCTGGGCTCGGGGGTGCCCAGGGCTGGATGCAGGGGAGGGCCTCACCCACAGGAGGTGCTGATGGGTGTGGACATGGAGGCCACCGCAGGGTGAGGGTGTCCAGACAGAGGGCCTAGCATGTTCCCAGGCCCAGGGTGTGAGCTGGGCAGGTGGGGGCCTGCTCTCTCTGGAAGGCTTCCTGACTCTGCCAAGGATAGGCTGTGGCTGGATCAGGCTTCATCTTGATTTTTAAAATAATATTTAATACATTTCATTAAGTAACTAAACGTACTTATTGCAATAAAAATTATGAAATATAGAAGAGTTAAAAACACCAAAAATCAGCAAACCCCTTTGCTCCCCAAATAACTGCTTCAACAGTATTTTCTGACTTTTTTTCACGTATATTCAGCTATAAATATAAGGCACACAGGATAGTATCCTTCCCCAGTTTGCCAAGCTGGATTTTCACTAGGCAGTGAATAGGGGCAGGCTTTAAACAGGCCAGGCATTGTGAGGCCCCTGGGGAAGGAGGCTAATCCTGTTGCTGGGTGACCTTGGGCAAATCTCACCCTCCTCAGAGCCTTGATTTTTCTCAGTCCAATGAAGGGCAGGAAGAGCTGTAGTTAGGACTAGATCAGCGCTTCCCAAACTCAGAGATGCCACATGCAGCTGTGTGAGCTGTGCACTGCAGAAGTCCAGGGGGAGGAGCATTCTTTCACAGTCTCTGTGATGGGGCTCCTGCCTAAAAGTGTGGTGTGCGAACCTGGGGCCCACGAGAGGATTTTAGGTGATAGGCAGATGCATTTCTTTTTACCATTGCCTTCTATGTGTAGTAAATTATTCCAATTCTCACTGGTAGGGCTGGTTACACCACAGATCGCTCAACCCACTCCCCAGAGGTTCTGGTTCAGGAGGTCTGTGGTGGCACCTGAGAATCTACCTTTCTAACAAGTTCTCAGGTGATGCTGATGCTGCTGGCTTGGGGACCACACTTTGAGAACCACTAATCACACATTTCCTTTTATTCATTTATGTATTTATTTAAGGCAGGGTTTTGCTCTGTCACCCAGGCTGGAGTATAATGGTGCAAACATGGTTCGCTGCAGCCTCAACCTCCCAGGCTGAAGCAATCCTCCCGCTTCACTTCCCGAGCATCTGGGACCACAGGCACGTACCAACACACCTGGATATTTTTGTAGTTTTTGTAGAAATGGAGTTCACCATATTGCTCAGGCTGGCCTCAAACTGTTGGGCTCAAGCATTCCACCTACCTTGACCTCTCAAAGCAAAAGTTACTTTTATAAACACATTTATTTAGGTTTTCAAAAAGAGTTGACTTATAGCACACAAACAGGTCTTCAATACCAACCACTAGGAAATGCACATTAAAACCACAGTAAGATATCACTACATATGTATTAGAACCATTAAAATAAAATATATTGATAATATCAAATATTGCTGAGGGTACAGACAAAACTAAATCTCTCATACATTGCTGGTGGGAATATGAAATGGTACAGACAGTCTGGAAAATAGTTTGGCAGTTTATTTAATTAAACTTACACCTCAACATATGACCCAGCAATTGCTTCTGGGCATTTGTACCAGAAAGTAAAACAAACTGATGTCTGCGTAAGAAATTCATATAGGATTGTTCATGGCAGATTATTTGCAATAGCCCCAAACTGGAAACAACCAAATACCCCTCAATAGGTGAATGGTTAAGCAAACTGATACAACCGTTCTATGAAGTACTATTCAGCAATATAAAGGGGGCCAGGCATGGTGGCTCATGGCTGTGATCCCAGCACTTTGGGCAGATCACTTGAGGTCAGGAGTTCGAGAACAGACAGGCCAACACGGTAAAACCCTGTCTCTACTGAAACAAACAAAAAGGAGCAGACACAGTGGCTCATACCTGTAATCCCAGCACTTTGGGAGGCTGAGGCAGGCAGATTGCCTGAGGTCAGGAGTTTGAGACCAGCCTGGCCAAAAGGGCAAACCCAAACTCTACTAAAAATACAAAAAAATTAGCTGAGCATGGTGGCGGAAACCTGTAATCTCGGCTGCTCAGAGGCAGGAGAATTGCTTGAATTTGGGAGGTGGAGGTTGCAGTGAGCCGAGATTACACTACTGCACTCCAGCCTGGGCAACAAGAGCAAAACTCCAACTCAAAAAAAAAAATAGCCAGGCGTGGTGGTGGGTGCCTGTAATCCCAGCTACTTGGGAAGCTGAGACAGGAGAATCGCTTGAACCCAGGAGGCAGAGGTTGCAGTGAGCAGAGATTGTGCCACTGCACTCTAGCCTGGGTGACAGAGCAAGACTGTCTCAAAAAAAAAGCAATGAAAAGAAACATGCAAAACTTGGATGGATCTCAAAGGGCATTTGTTGAGTTAAAAAAAAAAAGCCAAGCTCAAAAGGCCACATACTGTGTTATTCCATTTATATAATTTTGTTGTTGTTGGGTTGGCTTTTGTTCTGTTTTTGAGATGAAGTCTCACTCTGTGGCCCAGAGTGGAGTGCAGTGGCGTGATCTCAGCTCACTGAGCTTGTGCCTCCCAGGTTCAAGTGATTCTTGTGCCTCAGCCTCCCAAGTAACTGTGAGTACAGGTGCCACCACACCTGGCTAATTTTTGTATTTTTAGTAGAGACAGGGTTTTGCCATGTTGGCCAGGCTGGTCTCAAACTCCTGGCCTTAACTGATCTACCCGCCTTGGCCTCCCAAAGTCCTAAGATTATAGGTGCCAGCCACCATGCCAAGGCTTCATTCATTCACTCATTCATTCAAACAGAGTTTCTCCCTGTCTCTCAGGCTGAACTGCAGTGGCAGGATCTCAGCTCACTGTAGCCTCCACCTCCCATGTTCAAGTGATTCTCCTGCCTCAGCCTGCCACATAGCTGGAACTACAAGCTCGTGCCACCATGCCTGGCTAATTTTTGCATTTTATAATGTTCTTGAAGTGACAAGATTATAAAGACAAAAAGCAGGTTAGTGGTTGCCAGAAGTAGGAATAGTGGAGGGGAAGAGGTAGAAACGGCAGAGGAATAGCAGGAGGGGGATTTTTTTGTGGTGGTGGAACAGTTCTGTGTCTTGATTGTAGCGGTGGTTACAGAAGTCTACATATGTGATAAAATGGCTTCAACCTGCACACCTGACATTCTTTGATATTGTTTTACACAATACAGAATAGAACCTTTGGAGGAAACTGAGTGAAGAGTACCTGAACCCTCTTTGTACCAACTTTGACATGTCCTCTAAATCTATATTTCCAAATAAAAGGTTGATATTGTAAAACTTGCTTTAGAATTAAATAAAAATAATATTGATTGTATGCAAGCCTGGCAAAAGCTTTGACACACTGAATGACTGGCATCTCTAATTCATTCCATGCACAGTTACCCCTGGCCAGGCCCTGTCCTAGGCTAGGTCACCTGCTGGAAGATAGAACTCTGGACTCTCTCCTGCTTGGCTTTGGGGTAGAGATGCCAGATATAATGTAGGCCACCAAGTGAAATTTAGATTTCTCATCACAAATGAATAATTTTTAGTATTTACCATATTTAGAACATACTTATGCTAAAATTCTTTTTTCACCATCTACACAGATGTTGATATTTTTCTAAATTCTTTAATGTATGTATATAGTTACTTTAAAGTTCTTGCCTGATAATTCCAATGTGTGAGTCATTTATGATTTGTTTTGTTTTGTTTTGTTTTGTTTTCTGAGATGGAGTTTCACTCTTTTAGCCCAGGCTGGAGTGCAATGGCACCATCTCGGCTCACTGCAACTCTGCCTCCCAGGTTCAAGCAATTCTCCTATTTCAGCCTCCCAAGTAGATGGAACTAAAGTTGCATGTCACCACGCACTGCTAAGTTTTATATTTTTAGTAGAGAAGTGGTTTCACCATGTTGGCCGGGCTGGTCTTAAACTCCTAACCTCAGGTGATCCACCCACCTTGGTCTCCCAAAATGCTGGTGAGCCTTGGTGGCCAGCCCTTTTTTTTTTAGACAAAGTCTCACTCCATCTTCCAGGTTGGAGTGCAGTGGCATGACCTCATGTCACTGCAACCCCTGCCTCCCAGGATCAAGCCATCCTTCCACCTCAGCCTTCCAAGTAGCTGGAACCACAGGCACGTGCCACCAGCAGTCCTGACTTGTTTTGAATAAGACAGTTTTTCCACAGATGGGGTGAGGGGAAAGTGGTTACGGTATGAAACTGTTCCACTTCAGATCACCAGGCATTAGACTGTCATAAAGAGTGCAAAATGTAGATACCTCGCATGTGCAGTTCACAGTAGGGTTCACGCTCCTATGAGAATATAATGCCTGCTGATCTGACAGGAGGTACAGCTCAGGCAGTGATGCTCCCTACCCACCGCTCAGCTCCTGTTGTGCAGCTTGGTTCCTAACAGGTCACCGACTGGTACCAGTCCCCAGCCTGGGGGTTATGGACACCTGCACACTACCACACCCAGCTCATTTTGGAATTTTTAGTAGAGATGAGGTTTTGCCCTGTTGTCCAGGCTGGTCTCCAAGTCTTGAGCTCAAGTGATCTACCTGCCTTGACCTCCAAAAGTGCTGGGATTACAGGCATGAGCCACCATGCATGGTTGAGTCTGTTCATATTGACTGGTTTTCTCTTAATTTTAGGATATATTTTCTTGCTTTTTCACATGTCTAGTAAATATTTCTTAATCTGTTGGACATTGTGAACACTGATTGAACAGATGCGGATTATGCTATCTAGTGTTGAGTTTTGTTTTGGCAGGGAATTAAATTACTGATGGGTTAATTGATCATGTGTGTCAAGACTACATTTTAGGTTTTGTTAGGGGGAGCTGTTTTTCATTTTGCCCTTATTCCTAAAGAATCTTCTTTAATCCCAAGGCATGGCCTTCTAGGTCCTCCTGTGAATGTCTAGATTATTCATCAAGACCTGAGACTCCAAGAGTGGAGACTCTGGCTGAGCCAGAATTCAGATGTATCTCCAGCATCTGTGAGCACTGAAATAGCTGTTTAGCTTTCAGCTTCCCATCAGCTGTTCTCTGCTAGGCCTTGCAGAGTCTCAGTCTGCACATTCATAGCCTGGGATTTGGCCAAGGACCTGCAGAGACCTTTGTAAGATTTCTGGGGCTCCTTCTCTGCAATACCGTCCTCTCTGATACTCTGCCACACACATTTCAGCAGCAATGAGTGCAGTCTGTTTCCTCCACCAAACAAGACTGATACTCTCGGCCTGGACTCTTGCTTCCTCATGCTGTGATTGAGGGTTTGGAAACTTTCTCCACCAGAAAAATGTAGCAGTGACTTCATGTGATTCCCTTCTCTCAGATTGTACCTTAAACTGCCTATGACCCAGGGCCTGAAGACAATTTCTTCATGTACTTTGTGTAGCTTTGTAGTTGTTTATGCTGGGAGTCTATCATCGATACAGTTACTCCATCATGCCTACAATTAGAAGTACTATTAATATTGTATTTATTCTATTCTAAAAGTAGAGACGATAAAGACCAACAATTCTAAGAAAAATGAAAAAAGTATATGAAAGATCACGGAAAAATGAAAAATGCCACTGACACACAGGAAAAAATGTTTAGCTTCGATGATAATAAGATACAATTTAGGCTGGGTGCAGTGGCTCACACCTGTAATCCCAGCACTTTGGGAGGCTGAGGTGGGAGGATGGCTTGAGGGCATGAAGTGGAGGTGGCAGTGAGCTGAGATGTTCCACTTTGGGTGACAGAGCGAGATTAAAAAAAAAAGATACAAATGTAAACAACATCCTGCAACCTCTACATGTGGCCATGATGGATAACAGAGACCAGATTTACCTTCCACCTTGAACAACTAGAAAAATGGAACAAAATCTATAAAACAATAATTTTCAGACACTGGAGAATAGGTTGAGCAGAACTATGATCCCTGAAAGAAGGTGAACCCTGCAATGTCCTCGGTTTACTGCTGGACACAATTTATAGGCTCCATCACAGGGAGGGGGAATCCAAAGTCCAGTGATCTTGGTGGATTGAGGAGACAAAGATCAGAGCTTGAGAAGCTCTTCAAGGCCGGTAGAATTTGTGAGATAGAGTACCAGAGAGGAGGTGGGAGAAGAGAGAACACGTGCACTCTGGAGAGCTGTGGAAGGTGCCCTGAAGCCTTTGGCTCAGGGCAGATATAGACATGTGAGAAGAAAGTAGCCAGGGAAAGAATCACCAGAAAACAGAGCAAAGAATCTCCAGAGCTCACAATGGGCTAGAGAGAATTCATATTCTCGTAAGTCAGAATAAAAACACCTCATAATACTTAGGAATTGGAAGAGAATCTTTAGAAAAGTATTGCCTGAACAGTGGGGCTAAATAAAGCCTTCTCTGAAACTGCCTTAACAAAGATTAAAAGCAAACCTTGAGTAGATAAATCCAACTCATTTCAAGTAACTTAACTAGTGCTGGAACAGAGTCCCACACCATTTAAAGGGAAAAAAATCCAGCAATCACAACACAAAACACAATGTCTATCAGTTAATAAAAAATTACCACACAATGAACAGGTGTAGTGGCTCACACCTGTAATTCCAGCAATTTGGGAAGCCGAGGCAGGCAGATTGCCTGGGGACAGGGGTTTGAGACTAGCCTGGCCAACATGGTGAAATCCTATCTCTACTAATAATATAAAAATTAGCTGGGCGTGGTGGTACGCACCTGTAGTCTGAGCTATTTGGGAGGCTGAGACATGAGAATCACTTGAACCTGGGAGATGGAGATTGCAGTGAGCCAAATCACACCACTGCACTCCAGCCAAAGTGACAGTAAGACCCTGTCTCCAAAACAAAACCAAACAAACAAACAAAAAGGCAAAAATAGGGCCTATAACCAGGAGAGAAATAAATCAATGGAAATAGGCCTAGAAATGACAGAGATGGTGTAATTAGCAGACAAGGAAATTTAAAAACATGTTATAAATGTAATATGCTCCATATGTTTAAGAAGGCTAGAAAAATCTGAACAAGATGAGAAGACAGAAATGGAAGATATTTTGAAACACACACACACACACACACACACACACACACAGCCTGGGTGTGGTGGCTCACACCTGTAATCCCAGCACTTTGGGAGGCTGAGCCACAAGGATTGCTTAAGCCCAGGAGTTCAAGACCAGCCTGGGCAACACAGGGAGACGTAGCTCTATAAATAACTCAAAACTTAGCCAGGCATGGTGGCACACACCTGTAGTCCCAGCTACTCAGAAGGCTGAGGCAGGAGGATCACCTGAACACAGGAGGTCGAGGTTGCAGTGAGCTGTGATTGCACCACTGCACTCCAGCCTGGGCAACATAGTGAGACCTGTCTCAAAATAAAACAAAAAGTTACTAGCAATAAAAAAGTTAACTCTGCAGATATGGGATTAAAAGCAGTTTAAAAAAAAACTCAGTGAGGCCAGGTGTGGTGGCTCATGCTTGTAATCATCCCAGCACTTCTTGAGGCCGAGACAGAAGAATTGTTTGAGGCCAGGAGTGTGAGATCAGGCTGGGTAATACAGTGAGGTCGCATCTCTACAAAAAAAAAAAAAAAAAAAAAAGAATAGAATAGAATAGAAAATTTTTGAAAAATTTAATCAAGGCAAAATAAACAAGTTTTCACACAAACAAAAGCCAGGATAGTTACCAGCAGGCAGGCACTATGAGAAGTGTTAAAAGTTCTGTGGTGAGAAGAAAAATGACACTAGACAGAAATTTGGATCTATACAAAGGAATGACCACTGAAGTAATAAATACACGAATGAATATTAAAGATCCTATTTTCTCATTTTTTTGGAAGTCTAGAAATAATTGAGTTTGAGGCAAAAGTAGTAACATTGTGGGGTTTATAATGTGTAGAAGTAAAATGGTGACAAGTATAGCACAAGGAACAAGAGGGGTAAGAATACTGTCATTATAAGGTGACAGTCACAGTTGAGGGAGGTAATAAATCTGTGATTCCACCTGGAATACTGCATTGCTCCTGGAAGTGGGAAAGAGGTGGTTTCAGAGATGTCCCCCTGGCTATTCCTACTATTGTGGCTCCTACCCACAGGTCAGGGAGAAAAGTCAGATCTCTGTTCACTTCTGAGCATACTTCTATCAATTGCATATTTACAGACAGAGAAATGACAACTGGATGGGGCTGTGGCCTCTTCATCCAGGGTTCCATTTATTATCTTCACTTATCCTCAGTCTTGTTGGGGAGGGGCCATGATGGCACTGTGTGTCTGAGGGTATTAGGGTCAGCTCTAATCTTGAATTAATGGCCCTCAAACAGTCTGGGTATTTTCCATTTCATCAGCTACAGTTACTTTCATCAATGACCCCAGATCCCTTTGGAGAAGGACTGAGGTAACAATTACTAAATGTCGTGTGGTAATGTTGCAGGATTTTTTTTCGAGAATACCTAGCATTCCCTACAACTGATGAGCTATAGGTCTCAGTTGTCTCAGTCTGAAAACTGGGTGGGAAATGGCAGTTCTTTGCTGCAGGCTTCTGTGTGCCAGATCTTCTTCTTCTTGTTTCCTGAATATACAAATCAAGGAATATCCTAGGCCTCACACCTGTAATACTGACAATTTGGGAGGCGAAGCAGGAGGACGGCTTGAGCTCTGGAATTTGAGACCATTCTGGGTAACATTGCAAGAACTCATCTTTACTAAAAATGTTAAAAACCAGGCACGGTGGTGTTTGCCTATAATCCCAGCTACTTGGGAGACTGCGATGGGAGGATCGCTTGAGCCCCGGAGCTTGCAGCTGCAGAGAGCTATGATTGTGTCACTGCACTCCGCACTGGACAACAGAGTAAAATCCTGTCTCAAAAAAAAAAAAATGCCCTAGTCAACTGTCTATATAACTCGCCCCAGGAATGCTGTCAGTTTTTAGCCAACATAACAGATCCCTGGAGATCAAGGCATCCTGGTAATCCCTCTAGCCTTGCTACCAATTAAGTCAATAACATCCACCTTGTTGATGATGGTGATGTGCCACCACCTGGCATCTGCTGCTCTGGCCTTCCACCATTCCCACTGACAACACGAAGCCTGGTCTCACCGTGGCATCTCCTCTTCTCCATCCTGGCCTACAAAGTATAGTGCCAGAGTCTCTCAAAGATTTGGGTGCCCTTCACACTAGTGCCTTCCTTGTGAACCTAGAGAAGGGAGCTCCTGTGAGCCCTCCAAGGGCACATAGTCAAGTGGTGGATTCTGAATCTGCTGGCACATAATCAAGCATTCCAACATTCCTACCTCCCTGTACTTTCTGGCTTCTTTGATGCTTTGCGAATGCATTTCTATAATTTCACCGCATTTCTATAAGCTCACCTAACTCACTGCAGCAACTGTTACATCCACATTTCAAGGAGCCACTCCAGCATTGTGTGAGATCCCCAGGCATCCTTGCCAAGCCATTAAATCCTGAGAGTGCTCCCAGGTCAGTGTATTCTCATGTACACAGCCTTTAGTTTCCCCCTAGTCCGACAGCCTTATGTCCACTCCTCCACCTCCTCTCCCAGATTCTGTCAATACACACTAGGCAGCTCCTGCAACATTTTTGGCAGAAAAAAAATCATTTTCCCAGAGCAGATTGTGCTTGTAACCTTGGGCCATGATGAGGAACAACCACAGCCTGGTGTCAATGTGGGACAGCAATGACGACACACTTCATCCTGCTGGAGGGCCTTGCTGGAGGCTTTTTGCCTAGTCTCCAGACAAGGGGCAGCAGTCCTTCTCTTAGCAAGGAAAGGGGGCTACTTCTTTTAGCCCAAAGCATTCAGTGGAAACTGGAGGCTCAAAGTTCTTAGATGTAGCCACTTAAGTTTCCCCATATCAGATATCAGGATCCCATTGCTCTTTTTCACACAAACAAAAGCCAGGATATTCACCAGCAGGCCTGCACTATGAAAAGTGTTAAAAGCAGTTCTTTGGTAAGAAGAAAAATGCCCCAGGGTTCCAGAGGGCAGGACCGAGGATGGTGGGAGGAGCCCAGCCTGGGCAGCCATGATGTGTACACCACTCTTGATCTGTCTCCTGGAACTTGAGGTTGCAGTGAGCTGTGATTGCACCACTGCACTCCAGCCTGGGCAATGTAGTGAGACCCTGTCTCAAAATAAAACAAAAAAGAATTACTAGAGATGAAAAAGTTAACTCTGCAGATATAGGATTAAAAGCAGTTAAAAAACTCAATGAGGCCAGGTGTGGAGGCTCACACCTGTGATTATCCCAGCACTTTGGGAGGCCAAGGCTGAAGGTTTGCTTAAGGGCAGGAGTTTGAGACCAGTCTGGGCAACACAGTGAGGCCCTTCCCCTCCTTTCCCCTCCCCTCTCTTCTCCATTTTCTTTTCTCTTTTTATCTTTCTTTCTTTCTGAGATGGGATCTCACTCTATCCTCCAGGATAGGATACAGAGATGTGATCTTGGCTCACTGCAACCTCTGCCTCCCGGGTTCAAGCAATTCTCCCACATTAGTCTCCTGGGCAGCTAAGATCACAGGCACATGCTACCACATTTGGCTAATTTTTGTATTTTTTCATAGAAATGGGGTTTCACCATGTTACCTAGGGTGGTCTTGAACTCCTGGACTCAAGTGATCCTTCTGCCTCAGCCTCCAAAAGTGCTGGGATTACAAGTGTGAGTCACTGCACTTAGATCTCCTTTTCCTTAAGTAATTCTAAATAAAAACAAGACTAAATCATAAAATTTGTGATTTGGGGGGAAATGACACAAAACTTCCATGACAGCTGAAATTAAAATAGTTGATTTCTATATTTTCTGCTATGTGTGTGTGTGTGTGTGTTTGTGCATGCACACACGTGCATACTTGTCTAGGTTGGTGCCCTATGTGTGTACTTGCTGTAGGTGTGTCTGACTGCACAATTTCCAGAACACAAAAGCTCTACACAGCCCAATTTCCAAGCAGTCCAGACTGAAGCAGTAGTCTCCTTCTGGGTTTAATTTGAATTAAACTGCCAAGCTGTACTTGCATGGGAAACTGATCATTTTCCGCAAGAAATTTCCAGGCGAGGCCTGTCACCCTCCAGTGTAATTCTAGGCCCTGCTTGGCAGGGGGACTGGCTTTGGCTGGAGGCTGGGTCAAAAGGGCTGCCCTGGAATAGCACCTTCCCATCCCAGGGAAAGAGCTCTGCTGGGAGCATGAGACGGACCAAGAAGACCCATCCATTAGGAAAGTGGCCCTTGGTATGTCCAGTTTTTTGTATTTTTTTTTTCTAAAATGGAGTCTGGCTCTGTAGCTCTGGCTGGAGTGCGGTCATGTGATCTTGGCTCTCTGCAAACTCCACCTCCTGGGTTCAAGCAATTCTCCTGCCTCACTCTCCTGAGTAGCCGGGATTACAGATGTGTGCCACCACATCCAGCTAACTTTTGTATTTTTAGTAGAGACAGGGTTTCACCATGTTGGCCAGGAAGGTCTAAAACTCCTGACCTCATGTGATCCACTTGCCTTGGCCTCCCAAAGCGATGGCATTACAGGTGTGAGCCACCACGCCTGGTCTGTATGCCCAGTTTTAATGAAGGAGGGTGCTTGATGCAATGACCAGTTCTGATTGGGGAACTAGCTGGAGACATGGCATTCATTGTCTTTCCCACATGTGCCCCACCAGGGCCAAAACTTGAGTGGTAAAAAGTTTCAGGAGACATATCAAGATTGGTATACATATCGTGGATGCCCAGGCTGGGTTCCTCCTACCACTCTTCAGTCCTGCCCTCTAGACTCCTGGGCAGGCTGGCAGGAGTTGTTTTTGGGGTCTAGACTTCTGGCCAGGATGCCTATGGCCTCCTAGTATCCATGTGGGGCAGCCTAGTGAAAAGATCCTGAAAGTATGAGAACAGCAATTTATCAAGTGAACCCAAGATGTGACTAAATCTATCTCTGATGGCAAAGACTTCGATGACAAAGATTCTGGCCCATGGAAAGATGGCTCTGAGAATGGCATGTCTGACCACACCCCTCACTCTGACCTTCTGAGCAAATAAGCCCAGGCTTGCTCACAGTTGAGGCTGGAAAAAGACCTCATGGAGACCATGGGATAACTGCAATTCCTGTGTGCCTATCACAGCTGATTCCACCCACACCATCCTCTGCCCAGCCAGCCCAGCTCTAACATGCCCTGCAACTGCAGTTAGGGCTCTTTGGGTGTGTGACAGAAAATTCACTTGAGTTTGCTTAGGCAAGAAGGGAAGTTCATTGGTCAGTAAGTTAGCCACGGGCAGGGCAAGGAACAGATGGGGCTCAGGAATACCTGGACTCAGAATCACCAGTGCTGTTAGGATTTGCAGGCCCCTTCCTTTGTCTGTCTCCTCCTCAGTCTGCAGATCAGTTTTGTGCTCTCAGAGCAACTTTCCCCAGAAAGTTGGAATCAGGCTGTCAATAGCACAAGGCTTCCATCTCCTGGCTTTGCCCTGAAGAAAGATGGAGCTCCCCTCCATTAGTTCCTATTCAGAAAATTCCAGAAGAAAGTTTCTGCTTGGTTTAGTCTGGTCTGGGTTGGCTCGGTAGCTGGGACACTAAAACTGCCAAGCCCTCTAATGTCATGTGGTTGAAGTAGGGAGGGGAAATGTATTAGTTCAGGGTGCCATGCCAAAATACTACAGACTGGGCAGCTCAAACCACACACATTTATTTCTCAGAGTTCTGGAGGCTGGGAAATCCAACATCAAAGTACCCGCAAGGTAGGTTTCATTCTGAGGCCTCTTCTCTTGGTCTGTAGGTGTCTGCCATATTGTGTGCTCACGTGACCTCTTCTTTGCATTTGTATGGAGAGAGTGCACTCTCTGGTGTCTCATCTTATAAGGACACCAATAGTACTGAATCAGGGCCCACCCTTAGGACCTCATTTAACCTTAGTGACTTCCTGAGAGGCCTCATCTTCAACTACAGCCACACAGAGGGTTAGGACTTCAACATGTGAATTTGGAGAAGACAGAGACATTAAGTCCATGCTGGGAAGAAAAACTATTCACAAAAAAAGGGGAGCAGTGGCCAGAAAAGGGGAAAAACAAAACTACAGATGCTCTCCCCATTTCCCCCAATACATAACACACACACACACACAAACACACACACACACACACACACACACACACACGACCCTGACTTTGCCCTTTCTCCACAAGGCCACTCCCCACCCCATGATTATTTACCTCCTTCCTATCCTGCTCTCTGGAGTTGCCCCTTCCCCTAAGTTGTCCTGTGGCTCACTGAATGCTACACGCAGGTAGGTGCATGTAAATGTAGCCTGGGGCTGAGGTCCTCCTGGACCATGCGTCCTGAGCCCCACCATAGGACTGGGCAGGAAGTGGGTGTGACCCATGTCTACTGTCCTCAGGCAGAGCCTAGCCCTGGGACATGAGCTCAGTGGGTGCTGCAGCTTTGTTGAATTCACCTCTACCTCATCTACTTATAAGGTTCCTAGAGCCTTGATAACTCTGTCCTTGGAAGAAAAGAATGTGATTACTCAGCTCACATGAACCTCCTGGTGGCTTCCCCAACAGAAGGACATAATTTTCTAGTTCAAAAGAGTCTACCAAGTGACTAGCACAGTGAATGAAGAAAGAACTACAACAAGGCACATCACTGGGAAATTCCAGAAAAGGACTAAGAATAAAGAGAAAATTCTGCAACCTTCCAGAGAGAAAAGACAGGTCATATATAAAGAGCCAAGACTCAGAATGACACTGACTTCTTCCTGACAACACCGGGAACTAGAAAACAATAGAGCAATATTTCCCAAGTGAGGAGAAGTTACGTTTAAATTAGAGCATTATTTCCAGCCAAACTATTATTCAGGAGTTGGGGTAGAATAATTCAGAATATGTGAGGGTCAGAAAGCTTGGCTTCCATTCACTCTCTCTCAGGAAGCCACTGGAATATGTGATGCAATACATGAGAGAGTAGACCAGGGAAAAGACAATCTGGGACCAGGAAAAAGGAGATGCACACAGAATAAGCAGCAGGAAATTCACATGATGGTGCAGACATGCCAGGATGCCAGCCATGCCACAGGCTGAGAGCTGAGTCCAGTTTAGAGCAGAAGGATGGAGGGCAAGGGAGAGAGGGAAGCCTCTAGGAAAATAATGGGGCTGATCCAGTGTATCTTCGTTTTTGGATAATTACCACTAGGCATTTGATAGATTGGTTGGAGCATCTGAAAAAAAAATTGGTAATTGGTAAAAATAAATAAATAAATATGCAAATGAAGAGGGAAAATCTGAACAATTATTAACTCCAGGGGAGAAAAGGAAAGAAATGAAACAATTTCAGTGCAGGACTTTTGGTTAGGGAACAATATTTAGATAGCTACAGGAATGTAAATGCTTTTGATTTCATAAGATTATGATCCAGTCAAATTGGTGAAATGGAGCCAAGGAAAATATGACCTCATAAGGGAGGTAAGCCCTATACTGTGCTTCGCCGGAAATAGAAAACAAATCAAGAAATAGCAACAAAGACATTCTTCAGAAATATGATGATAAATACCAGAGGAAATAGCAAAATGAGTTTAAAGTGATGGCCTCTGAGAATTAGGACTCAAAGGCAAGAAAGGAAAAGGCAGAGAAAATGCTTTTTGATATAAGCCTTTTATTACCATTTTGTTTTTCTTTTCTTCTTTTCTTGTTTTACTGAGGATTTCTTGCTCCAGATAGCATCTTTTGCTTAACTCTGCATATCCAGTACTTTGATCAGAATTAAATATAATGTTGCAAGTTCTGGAGACCTGTTACACAGTATGATGACTATAGTTAATAACAACATATACTTGATAATTGCTAAGAGAGTAGACTTTTTGCTTTTATTATTTTTAATCAACACATAATTGTACATATTTATGGGAAATAGAAGAATATTTTTATATATGTATACAATGTGTAATGATTCCGCTGTAATTAGCATCTCCATCACCTCAAACATTTATCATTTCTTGTTTCTGGGAGCATTCAAAATCCACTCTTCTAGCAATTTAAAAATATATAATAATTGTCATTAATTATAGTCACCCTATAGTGCTAAAGACACTAGAACTATGCCTCCTATCTAGCTATACTTTTTTTTCTTCCCCCACTCCCCCTCAAACAGGGTCTCACTCACTCTGTCCCCAAGGCTGGAATGCAGTCACTCATAACTCACTGTAGCCTTGACCTCTTGGGCCCAAGCAATCCTTCCACCTCAGCCGCCCAAGTAGCTGGGACCACAAGCATGCACACCATACCTGGCTAATTTTAAAATTTTTTTGTAGAGATTGGATCTCCCTATATTGCCCAGCCTGGTCTCAAACTCCTGAATCAAGTCATCCTTTCAAAGTGTTAGGATTACAGGTGTGAGCCACTGCACTTATATCTGTTAACCCATTAGCCAACCTTTGGCTACACCCTCCCCTTTACCCATCCTCACCTCTAGTAAACACTATTTGAAGCAAATAGATCTTAAATGTTCTTAACACAAAAACAATAATAAAAGTATGTGAGGTAATTAAAATGTTAATTAACTTGATTTAACCATTTCACAATGTATGTATATATCAAAAGAACACTGTAAATATACACAATTTTTGTCAATTATGCTTTAATAAAGATGGGAGAAGAATTGAATATGATATTAAAACAAAAAACAATTGCAAAACCTAAAGGAAATAAATAATCTAGTTCAGACCCAGCCTTTTACAGATGAGGTCACTGAAGCACCGAGAGGTAAACTGACTTCACTGATTTTACCCAGCAAGTCACCGGCAGAACTTGACCTGAAATCCAAAGACAAGCATTTTCTATTACCTCCAGGTCCTTCAGTCCAGCCCTCTGGGATCTATCTGCCTTGGGAATTGGTATTGGTGACAAAGGGAATATAGAGGAACATGCATAGAGCTCGCCATTTAGATTGACATTCACACCGTGCCAGGGCATCAGCAAGAAACAGTGCAAGCTCCAAGAGTGCTCCCCCCAACCCTTTTCCCCCTCCCCATCCTTTCTCATAAGCAACTTCAGCTAAAGGGTCTGAGAAGAAAAGAGAATCTTATATGACTCTCATAGGGTATAAATGACTCCCACCATGATTTTTATTTTATCAAGACATAACTCCAACAACAGTTTGATGGCTAGGATGCTGGGCAGTAGGATGAAGACAAATGGGAAACTGCCTCAGGTCATGAAGAAGGTAGAGGCATTGAGGCCCTGAGTAATTTCATAAAGAACACCTTAGGAAATGTCCAGCACCATGGTTTCTTATCTTCACAACCCAGGACCCACAAGGCCCCACGTTCTGACAGATTTTGTTTATCAGACGAATTGCACTCAGTCATGCTTCATTTTCCTCAGAGAGTTCCTAGATTATATAGAATTGGTATAATCTTCCCACTCCCCATCAGCCCCACAAAACATTCCATGTTATACAGATCAATATTAGATTTTCATGGTGCTCTTGGCATTTTGCAACTATTGTTCAAGATGGAGACCCAAAAAGAGCACTAGCGTTAGAGTCAAGGACCCGTAGGTTCCAGTTTCAGCTGAGAGACTGTGAGCACATCATTAGCCCACTCTAATCCTATATCCCAGATGTATAATCACCTATGTTCCATCAATTGCAAGGTTGGAGAGAAAAATGCCCACTCTGCCCAGTACACAGTAGGAGCTTAGTAAACTTAAGTTCTCTTGCTTCCTCACTATCCTAATGTATTAGGGGAAAGACAGACATGCGAGGAATGGAACCTGGAAGGCTCCAGTTGTATGCTTCATAATCCTACAATGAAAACTCTGAATTAGGCCTTCCCTCTACAAAATGAGGACAGGAGTGGATAGGAAGAGGAGAAGCTTGACTTTGTCGGTTTAAGCTGGACCTGTCTGATTCTGTATTGCGGGCTTCACTGCGGGTCTAGCTCACTCCCCAGCCTGGGCTTTGCCTGCTCTGAATGTCTTTTGGCCAAGTCCAAGGCTATCCAACGTCAGCTATCCAGGGCAGGGTGGTGGGTAGTGGGATGGGGAGGAGCAGTTCTCCCATATAACCTGCAGGTGGCACCAGAGAAGCGCGGGAGCCGACGATTCCCTTCCAGCCTTCCAGGAGACTGGGCAGGGCGGGGTAGGGTGTGGCAGAGATGGTGCATCACCATCAGCTGGGCAGTGGCACGAGCGCCACTGCGGATCAGTACACACGGTTTGAAATCGATACATGGGCCTTCTGGCTAATTTCGCTTCTTTGGTAGGATGATCATATGCTTTATCATCCAAATCCAGACACTTCGGAGAGTGAAAGGGGCACTATTATAATTGCACTAGGACAGCAGACAAAATCTTAGCTGTACCTTGCAAACCAGAACATATGGTCACCCTATCCTCCGGTCACTTTTCCTTCCTTGTTTCCACTCTTCCTATTTTCTTTTAAAATACACAACATTCTCTTTCCCTGAGCACCATTGTCATTGAAAATGCCCTTGCGATGGGGATATTTTCCACCACACAACATGTGCTTTCACTTCTTGAGTCTGAACAGGCTCTCTGAAGCCACCCCAAAGGCTGGTTTTAACTTTCAGTTAGAAGACTCTGTTCCCTGGCTTACCATCCCCATCACTCAATAATTAAAATTATCAGACATGAAACAGTGACCTTATCTCAACTTTGGTGCCTCTTTGCTAAATTTATTACTGTAATTTTTTTTTCTTTTTGAGACTGTCTCACTGTGCCGCCCAGGCTGCAGTGCAGTGGCGCAATCTCGGCTCACTGCAACCTCCGCCTCCCAGGTTCAAGTGATTATGCTGCCTCAGCCTCCCAAGTAGCTGGTAGTATAGGCACCCACCACCACGCCAGACTAGTTTTTGTATTTTTAGTAGAGATGCAGTTTTACCACTTTGGCCAGTCTGGTCAAAAACTCCTGTCAGGTGATCCGCCCGCCTCAGCCTCCCAAAGTGCTGGGACTACAGGCATGAACCACCGCTCTGGGTCCTATTTCTGTAATTTTGTTCTGGGTGCTCATGTCCTTTATCTCTTTGAATTTGAGTATATTGGTTTATTGATTTCAAGTAGATAAGTCCCATTAAGCAGGATTCTTATATTTCCAAGAACATCCCATTACTCCAACCCCAAATTAGCATGCCATTTATCCCCTTATTTCTGAACCCTCTTAATAGTCTCATAAGCATCCATCCATTGCAAAAGAAATTTTTCTCACTTCCATTTTTAGTTGTTTGATTGCTATCCAAGTAATGATTTGTCTGGGGGAGTCATAAGTAGAGAACTGTGCCCTTATTTTTATAGTTGGATTCTGCTAGTTAATATCTCTCTCTCTGTCATTCTCACATTGCAACAAACAACTATGGGTTTCTGTCTTAACCTAAAATCTAGGTTAGAAATTTGATTTTATGTGAATAAGACATTAATAGATAATATGAGAAGAAAATTTAATTTACTGAAACTTTTCTCAGCTGGGAATGACACTCATGGCCACCAATATGTATGTAAGCAAGCAGAAAATTGGGTTGTAAATATATAAACTCAAAATATTATGTTTAGAGACAAGGTATTTTTTTTTCTTTCTTTTTAGTAAAGTATATTTGCTATGGTTGGAATATTTGTATCTCCTCCAAAATTCATGCTGGAACTTAAACCCCAATGTGATAGTATTAAGAAGTGGAGTCTTTTGGAGATGATTAAGTCATGAAGGAAGAGCCCCCTCATGAATGGGATTAGTGACCTTATAAAACGGAGCTACCTAGCTCGGTTTTTTGTTGTTTTTCTCACCTTTCCACCAGGTTAGGACACAGTGTTTGTCGCCTCTGGCAGACTCAGCATTCAAGGTGCCATCTTGGAAGCAGAGAGCAGCCCTCACTAGACTACAAACATGCTGGCACCTTGATCTTGGACTTCCCAGCCACCAGAACTGTGAGAAATACATTTTTGTTCTTTACCCACTACCCAGTCTCAGATATTTTGTTATAGCCACACAAATGGACTAAGACAGTATCTCACATACAGTGAGGTGCATATACCTTAAGCTACAAATCTGTACTTTTTTTCTTTTAGATGGAGCCTCACTCTGTCGCCAGGCTAGAGTGCAGTGGTGCCATCTTAGCTCACTGCAAACTCCACTTTCTGAGTTCAAGTGATTTTCCTGCCTCTGCCTCCCCGGTAGCTGGGATTACAGGTGCCCACCACCACACCTGGCTAATTTTTGTACTTTAGTAGAGATGGGGTTTCACCATGTTGGCCAGGTTGGTCTTGAACTCCTGACCTCAAGTGATCTGACCGACTTGGCTTCCTAAAGTGCTGGGATTGCAGGTGTGAACCCCCATGCCAGGCCAACTCCATACTATCTGCATATATGCACATTTATTTAACCTTCACTCAGTTCAAGATATAGAATGCTTCCATCACCACAGAGAGTTCCCTAGTGCCCCTTCTCAGTTGCTGTCCTCCTCAAAGTTAACCACAATACTGACCTCTGTCACCACTGATTAGTTTTGTGTGTTCTTGAACTTCATATAAATGGAATCATACAGTATGTGCACGTTTGTGGCTGGCTTCTTTCATTCAACACAATCCTGTGAGAATTAGCCATGTTTTGGGTACTGATAGTTGTTTATTTTTCTGGTTGTGTGGTTTTCCATTTTTCATTTATTATCCTTCTGTATTTATGTCTAACTCAGTGTCTTGTGGAGTCTATTGGTCCTTTTTAGCTAGATTGGTATTAAACATCTTATCAATGGAGCTTAGGAAATCTTCAGAAGAAGAAAGCATA